CTTCATGCTGCCTTTGGTAGCAACCCTGAGCCTGAACTATTCCTTTTCGTGTGGCATGGATAATCCGCCACACCTGAGTGTGCTATCTACAGAGCTTCAACGTACTTTTAGGTTGGTTTGATCCATATGTTGGAGGATTTATAGGACGTCTGCAGTTGCAAATTAATTAACTTAGCAAGTGCCAAGGTGCTTTCAGGTATGCCCTCCTGCCTCTTCCCGTCCTCCAAATGCTTCTGCACAGTTGGGTGGTGGAATCTGAACATCCCTTTATATGAGGTAAAGAATTTTTATTTTCATACCTATTGTTTTCAGGCTGGTAGATACCAGAATTGTCGAGGATTTTTTGTTTGTTTGTTTCATGGGTTCTTTTTTTCCCCTGCTCTCTTTAAAACCTCTCACTCTATCACCCCTACACGCACTTACCTATGTATCTGTTATGAGTTGATGAAGGCTCTTTTCTTCCAAAAGATCAAGTGAGAAAAAAAAAAGTCTTGACATACTGCTTTGTACTTGGAAATAGTGAGAATGCAGGAAAGAAATGGGTAGTCAAAGAAATGGATAATCTAATGCTCTTGAGCATTCATTTGAGCCAGTATGCTATGAAAGAGTTAAATCACTAGTTTTCTTAACTTGCAAATACAAGAATTTGGCCTCAGGCAGTTAGTTGCTGTTGAGAGTGGTTTTGTTGATATGCTGCCATCAGTATTTAAAAAGATTTTTACATTAATATTATATCTGCCCTACAGGTTATTCTGACGAAAGGAAATTTACAGTCTTAGACAAAAATCTTTCAGTGGATTGTCTCTTTTTTTAATCCTCCCTCTTCTGTAGGGAGAGGCTTTATCAAGTTATACCTAGCCTGTGTCTCTCTAACAAGTGTGTTAAATATGTATCTTCAAAGGTAATCTTGAATAACATGCAGTTAGCTAATAAAAGCAAAAAATGTTCCTTCTTTAATGGGGAAGTTCAGAGAGCTAATTTGTATCAATGCCCTGCGGATAATCTTTTCCCTGAGCTGCAGGAGGGCCTCTTCTCTTATGGCCAAAGACCTGACTGAATTCCTCTTGGACTCTTCATCTCTCTCATCTGCGAAGTCCAACAGGTGCAACTGCCTCAATCCGTATGAATTTCAGTTGCAGCTTGTCTCCACTGTTTTAAGCAGTGATGAGAAATTTGATCCTAAATTTGTGGTGTCATTTTGCACTGATCTTGTGGGACCAGAAGTGCCAAGCTCAGTGTTAAATCAAGAATTTGACTTACACAAACGAATGGTCTTTTCTAAATACCCTCAGGCTATGTTGTGTTTTAATTTATAAGAGTGTGAGTGCCCCATTTTAATAGAACTGTCATTATTAATACATTACTCTTGGGTTTGGCCAGTGTTATTTTACCTCTGTAAAGTGCATACTATAAAAAAATATTCTGATGGAAAAATGAGACATGTTACTAGTTTGGAGTAATTATCTAAACATTTGTGTCAAATTAGTGACAACGCCAATCTTTATCTTTTCTCAGCAATGCAATTAAGCAATACACATTTGGTAAACTAATCATTGCTTCTAATTTAGCTAGTAGGAAGTGATTTTCTTTATTCTTTGATATTTGATCCGAGGAAAGTTTTCTACTGTTGTCATTGGATGGACTCACAGGGTTCTCATTCAAAGGAGCTGTATTTGTTCTTAGGAAGAAGTGGGACAACTGTTTTTCATCTTCTCAGTATTTGTTCTTTTGATACTGGACTTCAATGGCTCAGCTTTCATTGTACTGATATTCTAAATAAGGAAAAACATTTATGCATGTGTTAGTTTTACATTGCTCAATTATTACTGTTTCTGTTCAGGAATTATTTTTTGAGCCTGCGGGTTTTTTACGCTAGCTTTCAGTTGTATTTCGACTGTCATAGGAAAATTCCCTTCTCTTGCCTCCAGCTCAGAGTAAACCTACTATCAGGGTCAAAAGCAACACAAAATTCAAATAAAGTGAATTCTTTGTCTCAGAAGAGTGACTTGAGCACACTAAAAGTAGAAAAGGAGTCACACTAATCAGATTGTTTAAGTCTGGGAACTTGGTAAATTAGATAAACTGTGATCTGTTTCATTAAACAACTAAAAATTGTTAAAACTATTAAGCATGGAGAAATCAAACTACAGTATGTTAAGAGGAAAACCAAAAGTTTTCAACAAATTAACCCCTATGTGTTGTGACATCTTCAAAGCGAGTTTGTGCACGTAGTAGAATACTTTTAACTAGCTTTAACTACCATGTTCAGGTATGTGGATTCATTGACCTAGTTAAGCTTGAGCAATGCTGTGACAAGTGATGTTAAAACCACACAAGCTTATGGGTAGTTCTTTCTCTGGCTAGAAGTTACTGAATGTATTGTATGATTTGGTCACTGTAGATTTTTCCTATATGTGTCAATGCTGTCCAAGTCACTGGACTTGTGTGCTAGGATCATCACTACTATATTCAAAGGTAGTGCTTTCTAGTATTTTCAGAGCTGGGGTGTTATTCCACAGAATTTCACACAACTCTGCTAAAATCCTGTATGATCAGAAATACTTCTATTAAATAACCTAGACTATTCACCACATTTTTTCATTAGGCTGATGATTGTTGGTCTTCTGTCTTGTCAAGCTGTAGAAGAAAGACCTTGAGTGTCAAGAATTCATTTCTAAACTTTGTGCAAGTCTGCTTTCTATCTTTGGTGAATGAAAATAGTTACAGGTTTTTCCCCTCTCATTCCCTTCGCTGCAGTAAGACAGAGTATGTTTTTGCAGTCTGTGTAGTAGGGGCATTTCAAATTCAGAGAAGGGTAGAGCCCCTGGCTTAAGGTTGGTCTTGCTCACAACTGATTATTTCTCAATCTTTGCATCTTCTAAAATGTTTCTGTAAGCAAGAGTCTATTTTGGAGTCTACATTGCTTCTGCTGTCACTGAAATTACCTGCTTTCTCTTGCCTTTTTAGATCTTTTAAGTTTGACTTGAACTATTAAGCTGTAATTCTATGGGAAGAAGTCTGAGTTTCACATAATTTCAATTTTGGATGTTTAGGGAATGCAAAATATAGATTGCACATTCATACAGTCTGAGTAATAATCTTATGCTTAGTTGGGGAAATATTTACAGACATTCACTGGGCATTTACAGGGAAGTCTGTCTCATGTTACAATACAAAAGTAATTGTTTAAAGATCTTAATTGTAGAGCTCAATATTGCTTGCATCAGATGCGATTAGAGATTTCTTAATACTGTATAGCTAATTCACAGCTGCTATTCTATTCCAATCCTACTCAACTATTTACGTTTTGGTTTGAAACTCTGAGTTCCCTCTGTCTCCTGTGATTCTGAAATCCCTACTTGTAAAAGAATATCAGAGTTCCAGATTCACAGCAGAATATTATATTACTTTGGGTTTGTGATATTAACAATGGATATTAATTACTAAAGAAGTTGAAGAGTGCTAAAAAGTTACCATTTCATTGTTGCAAAATTAGTGAAATACTTGGGTCTTCGTCATCAGTGCTTTTTGAAATGAAACTCGCATGTCAGCAGCGTTGGAAACTGGCAGTAATTCTTGTGGATTTGAGGCCTGATTTAACCATACTTAAACAGCACTACAGTGCTGGTTTTGCCGTGTGGGTGGGGCATAAAGGCTTTTAAAAGTCTCCAAGGGATTTTCTGGTCTTCTGAAGTTAGAAAATGATTATTGTCGTAGTGTGGAGGGAAGACCCCTGTAGGTCACCTGATTACTAGTTGCAATCATGTATGCCTTAAATCCAGATGATTTACCTTCTAACAACTAGCTAATATGTTTGACCAAGCCACTCAGCTACTCTGTCATTAGTTTTCTCTGGTGGAAAATCATCTCACGTTCCTTGAAAAGGAACTCCTAAAGGCTTGTGAAATGCTCAGGTGCCCCAACAGAGGTATATGTGTATTTTGTCACAGCTATAGACAGTGTTATAGCTGGAGTCATTAGGAGCTATTGCTTCTTGCAGTTCTTCAGAATATGATGCAATATGCAATGGCATGCAATTGGAGTGATTTCAATAAATTAATAATTCAGGTTAGTGTATTAGTTTGTGATGATATATAATTTCAGATGATATTTGTCAGCAAAACTTTTGACACTTTTTCCTGCAGTATCCTTGTGTGGCCAACAGGTAACAAGTGGAGTCTGCAGGGGTCTGTCCTGGACCTGTCCTGTTTAACATCTTTAGCAACAACCTGGAGCAGGCAACTCACTACACTCTCAAGTTTGCAGATGACAGCAGACTGGGGAGCCCAGCAGATATGATGGAGGGTAGAACTGCCAATCAGGGGTACCTGGGCAAGCTGGAAGCATGGACCTGCAGGAACCTCACAAAATTAAGCAAGGACAAATGCCAAGTCCTGCAACTGTGGCAAAGAGCCCCTGGCAGGGACACAGGCTGGGGACAGAGGGGCTGCACAGAGCAGCTCTGTGGGAGAGGCCCTGGGGATGCTGGCAGGCAGCCAGGTGCCAAGAGAGGTTGTGCCATCTCCATCCTTGGAGGTTTTCAAGACTGGAGTAGGCCAAACCCTGAGCAACCTAGTCTGACCTCATGGCTGAGCCTGCTTTGAACTAGAGGTTGGACTTGAAGACTTCCTGAGGTCCCCTTCAACCTGAAATACCTTATCCTGTGATTCTATGACTACTTGCTTACTCAATTTTAGTTTTTAATTTGAATTTGAAATTTTCCTTTAAAATTGAATTTCCATCTCTAAAATGCTACGTGCTCAGTCTGTTCTGTCACAAATTCAACTAACACTTACCGTGTGTGTGCACCTGCAGGTATATGTGTGTCTTAGTGTTCCGTTTTAAAAAATAATAATCTAGGCCTTTACCAAGCTCGCATTTCAAAAAGAATTGTTATATCACAAGTGGTATTTGCATCGCTGTGCTCATTACTGGTTTCTTTTGTGCTTATTTCTTGTGTAAACTTGCCACATGATTAATACGCTTTTTTGTTTCAACAGAGGGAGAATATATCAAGATGTTCATGCGAGGTCGACCAATCACAATGTTCATTCCTTCTGATGTAGAAAACTATGACGATATTAGGACAGAGCTGCCTTCTGAAAAGTTAAAACTGGAGTGGGTGTATCCTTGATATCAGTAACTGCTTGCTGTTCCCTTTTTGTTTGTCTTGCTTTTTTTTTTTGCTTTAGAATCTGGTCTTGTGTCTTCTCTGTTCAGAGATAAAAATTACTTAAAAGTGGGGAAAAGAAGTTCAGTTTAATATAACAATCGAAATGGTTTGTAGCTACTGTACAGTACAACTTTAAGCTGCATAGAAAAGCTGTACTTTTTGTTATTTTGCTGTTGAAACTTACTGCAATTTATTTTTAGTGTGAAAGAAAGTGTCTTTAGAGAGTTACAGTTTCAAAAATGTCCCCCTCTGCCCTCCATTATATTAATGTAGTAGGCTTTGCATTCAGGAATATTGTTAGTTTTCAATCTCTGTTCATTTTAGGAGGTTTTAGAGCTATGAAAGATCTCGGAATTTCTCGTTGTCCTTACCTACGGAGTGAATATTGCAGAGGCAGCCATCCTTTGCACTGCTGCTGTGTTTCAGCTCCAAAGTGAAGAGGTTAATTTCTTGGAGACTAGTTTGTATTAAACTTGCTAAATAAATGTATCACTTGAAGAATGGAGTTGGTGTGTGGCTGACGACAATCCTCCAGGCTTAGTAGGTCAGACGTTAAGCTCATTAGAAGAGACGTGCTTTTGCACACATTTGGGTCTTCCTGTCACCTCCCTATCTCTGCAGATTCTTCCAGTAAGCTGTGATTTTGTAAGTAAATTTTTTAGTACTGCAGTCAAATAATGTGTCTAGGCAGCACTTGAGTTGGTGTAATAATCTCTAGTTTGATCATTTTGATGTTGCTGAAAGCAGGAAGATTTTTAGGAATGCTGATGAGATACTGTTGTATGTCAGGATACATACAGACAGAGGCTGCCTGTACCTCTCTCACCATATGTGTTAGTGACTAAGGCATACATATATTTTAAGCCACCCCTCATTAGTCACTTTATAAAAGAAGATCTCTCTATTATTTTTTCTGCCTTATTAATTAATAGAGGTTTGAAACAGATAATGTTGGGTGCTTGGTTATGAAGAGCAGCTGTGAAGCTCATGTCCTCTGAACTTTTCAGTGAGACTGTGGAAGCTTAGACCATAAAGGAGGAAAGTTTTTGGATTAAAAATCTGACTGGAAGGAAAACAGAGCTCTTATTTATGCTTTGCAAAGCAGTGGTGCCCAGCTTTCCTACTGTCACAGCTTTTGGATGCTGATGCAGGCACTCATATGACTGTGGAGTGAATGCGGTCAGTCACTGATCTGGCTGAAATGTAATCTTTTTTTGCGGAGTTAACCTTCAGCAGG